GTGTTTTGTGTAGGAATAGGAATTTGAGTGGGATTCTCCCTGTTTATACTCTTTAGTATTATGCGCTTGACATAGATGGCCCACAGCAACTCACGAAGAGCTACTAATTCCGATCAATAGCAGTGCGGCTTCTTCCTCCTTCTATGGATGCTCATGTGGGCTGCAGCTTGATGCTTGCAGGCAGCCATTCGCTGTGTACTAGAGAACACCACAACTCACCACGCGGTGACTGAATAAACACCGTTTGGTAAGATCGGTTGGAACTCAACTTTAAAATCTGTGTTAGGGAAATCGATTTTCGCAGGCAATCGATGATAATTTTGATTATCATAGCAACAGTTGCACATCCGTTAAATTTACAATAGGGACATTTTGAAAAATGATAAAATCTTAATTTTAACTGATTCGTAGAAAAAATTTCTATCGATTGGTGTATTAGTAATTCAAATCCATCATCTCTGGATCAAATCAGATCACTTTCATGCCATGACCGACTTTGGTTTTTGAAATCGCACCCTCAATGTTGCCTTAAATTACATGGTATTTTAGAGATTTAAACATATCTTGATAGAGCTGGAATTAGGCTAACAGCTTTTTTAAACAATTATTTCTCTCGATGATTTTTAGGAATTCACGGCACGCCCATGCAAACTAACATTACCGTCGGGTAGAGGAAGTCTTATCCTACCTGATGGTGATGTTGATTTGCGTGGACGAGCCTTGACTTTCAAGACATCATCGAAAGAAGTCATTGTTTACAAAAATTGTTACGCCCTAATTCCAGCTCTATCTCGATATGGGAACTGACATCCGATTGACAAATGTCCAAAAAATACTCTAACAAATTTATGGTGGTCCTGAAAAGGACCGTTTATAGTAATGGTTGAGGAATGCGGAGCTATTGAGGTGTTAAACACAGATTAGATGGATGCTCATGTGGGCTGCAGCTCACTGCTTGCAGACAGCCTTTTGTTGTGTACTGGAGAACAATTATCAACGCCACGCACCGAAAGCACTGCTGCTACTGCAGCTGATGCCGACGACCACACACCACCACACACGGTGATTGGAACTGAATCCAGCCTTGGTAGCTAGCTGCTTGCGGGGAGCCTTTCGTTGTGTACTGGAGAACACCCCCACTCATCACGCGGTGATTGAATAAACATCGTTTGGTGAGACTGGATGGAATTCAAATTTAAAATCTGTCAGGGAAATCGCTTTTCGCAGGCAATCGGTGATAATTTTAATTATCAAAGCAACAGTTGCACATTCATGCAATTCTCATTGGTGACATTTTGAAAAATAATAAAGTCTTAAATTTAACAGGTGCCTAGAAATATATCTGATCGATTGGTGATAAAATTATTGAAATTGGTCCAGGAGCACCTGAGCTATTAACGTTAAAAATCTTTCATAATTTTGTTACATGTTCCATTTTGGGTTTTCACAAAATGTACCCCCATATAGAAATCACAGACGTAGTCCTACGTCAAAACTCCTCGAGAGAGAGGGAGAGCGAACTTCAGCGCGGGGATGATTTGACGTGAGGTGCGCTTTTCAATATTCCGGATGACTTTTTTGTTCGACGCAAGAAGCGCAGAGTTCACCCAGAGCGAAGACAACAAATCAAGAAGACTGGCAACTCTTCCATTTTCTCATACGAACGCTATGAGACAGGTACAATAGCGTCATCTGTCGCTCCAAGGTAAATGCTTTGAACGAATTTGATAGCAAAGATTACATCCTCAAAAGGAGGGTTTGTGTATTTGCTTATTTTTTCTATGCGTTGCTTCCACCTTCATTCAAGCGCAGCGCTATTGTATCTGTCGCTTGGATTTTGGCAAAGTTGCCAGTCTTCTTGATATGATGTCTTCGCCCAGAGTGAGAATAAGAGCGTGTGATTGAAAGCATGAACAGTACACCTCACTCTCATTGTATTCCCCTTCGCTCACAAGCTCTGAAGCTCAGTGGAATGATTTGGTAGTAGGCATTCTACTTCTCAGAAAAATGCTACGCTCGGCTCATTTCAAACTAGCGAGCGAGGCTCCATGAAGCCTGATACTAACTTATATTTTTTTGAATTAGATCTAGAAAAAAAAAATTGAAGACCGAATGTCTTATGTCATACAATTTTCATTTTTATTAAGAAAATAACAAATTTAATATTTTTAAAAACCGCAAAATATAAAAAAAAAATCAAGCAAATATTTTTTTTACCAGCCGGCATTGTTCTTTCTGAGGCAGAGGTCACGAAAAATTCTCAAAATTATATGATCCAAGAAATACTGAGTATAATGGTTTCGTTAAGCTTTCTTTATTAACTTGATTTTCAGCCTTGGACTGGTTCGTCTCGTGCGTAGTTGAAGCCCCCTAATTACAAACTTTGTAATGGGATGGGACACCAGAAGGGAGTTCCCCTAGTTACAGAGTTTAGGGTGGAGGCCTCATAAGGGAGCCCCATAATAACAGATTTTAGAAGGTGGGAGCCCCAGAAGGGAGCCGTCCCTAAAATCATAGTAATAGTTTTATCAAAGTTGTTTCTTTCGTAGTTGCCGTCATGACTGTCGTCCGGATGTTGTTGTTGTATACATCATCCGTTGGCGTTATCCATAAGAGAAATAGAATGTGGGTTAGGTATTGTCGGACGTCCTTTGTGGGGTTGTGTAGAATCTGACCGGGTTCAATATACAAGTGTTAGATGCTTTCCAGCAGTCCGGCTTCTCAGAGAAAACCGAGTAATGCCGCGGTTCTGGTCGGATCCTCTCTAAGAGCATTTCTGATAGTTCCCAGTATGTCATAAAATTTGCGGGCCCCTCATATTGTGGGTAGTGACATATGATGTGTGCGGGACATGGCAGATGTCACACATCATGCGGAAAGGGCCGTTCCCAGTAAAGTTATGGGAAATGTTGGTGTGCCCCGTTCTTAGGCGAGACATCACGATATGGGTATGGTCTCGTGGGTCCTCCCACCTATGTGTGTCGTGCTTGATCTTTGAGATGAAAGTATCTCATAAAGTGGTCAGCCTCTATATTCACACGTATACCACAGTGTCCAGGGATCCAAAAAAAAGCGGTGTTGTTGGGTGCGTATTTTTGAATACCCTAGATCAAGGGAAACTTGGAAATGTCCAATCCGAGGGCCTCGACTACACTGTCGGAATCCGTGAAAATCGCGATTGGTCTACTGGATGTTGTAGTGGCAGCGATGAAAGCAGCTGAAGTATCTGCCGAAAAGAGTACTGGTCCGGTAGCCGGTGGCATACATATATTTGAGAGTCTGTAATTTCTATACCGGCATGCCCGCGGGCTATGGAGCCGTCGGAATATCGGATTGTATGACCGTTGTATACGGTTCGTTGAAGTTTTGCTACCGATTTCAGTATTGCGGGGGAGTTGGATCCTGCCCCAAACTTCTTTTTAATTGCCAAGTCAATTACGGGTGCGAGCAGGCTCCAACCCCTGCCTCCACATCAGTGGACCCTGGACACTGGAGGGAGCTCCAGATTGGCAGTTGCAGAAAATAGCAAACTCCCTCGTCAGGGCCAACTGTATTCTCGTCGAAACTTATTGCCCGTTTACAGATAGTTTGTGTGGTCAGTCTGCCGAAAGGAAGCATTCCACTCTCGATGCAGGTTGCCACGTTAGGTGTGAAAGAAAGATGACCAGAACAAATACGGATAGCTTCTCGATTCGTGGGAGCGAGTTTGGAAATTAGCAGATCGCGGGTGAGACAAATGATTTCGATGCCGTTGAAAAGACGCGACTTGAGAATTGCTCTGGCAACACGGAGCCGAGTGGACCGGTTACTGTCCAGCGATAGAACGGAGAAGATTCAATCTGGTTTTGCAACCGCTTTTGACGTCATCGAAATGTGCAGTGAATGTCAGATGCTGATCAAGACGAACCCCTACAACGCGAACTGTTTTTTTTTGACGTAGGACTACATCTGTAATTTCTATATGGTGGTACACTTTGTGAAAACCGAAAAGGAACATGTAACAAAATTATGAAAGATTTTGAAAGTTAATAAGTCAGCTGCCTCTGAACCAATTTTGATAATTTTGACACCAATCGATCAGAAATATTTCTACGCATCTTAAAATTTAAGACTTCATAATTTTTCAAAATGTAACTATTGAAAATTACACGAATGTGCAACTGTTGCTATGATAATTAAAACTATCATGCATTGCCTGTGAAAAGCGATTTCCCTAACACAGATGTCAAAGTTGAATTCCATCTGGTCTCACCATACGGTGTTTATTCAATAACCGTGTGGTGAGTGGGGGTGTTCTCCAGTACACAACGAAAGGCTCCCTGCAAGCAGCGAGCTGCAACCCACATGAGCATTCATAGAAGAAGGAAGAAGCCTCAATTCTATTGATCGGAATCAGTAGCTCTTCGTGAGTCACTGTGGGCCAAAATGAAAGTGCCCTGGTAGTCGCACCCATCTTCCGACGGAGCACCTTAACGGTGTCACTGATGGTTACGAGAACGATGTATACGAAAATGTATATCTCCTTACTGAGTATAATGACGTATTCGTCCAAATGGCTGTTGGCCTGATGGCTTTCGACCTGATGACCAGTGTTGCCAGTATTCCAGATTTTCTGTCGTCTTGCCAGATACACAGACAGATCACGTATATTTATAGATTTTTTAAATATGTTCCAGATTTTCCCAGATTTTTTGTTGCTCAAAATTTGGTTTAGTGGTCGGGCGGTGTCACCCGTCGCTAAGACGTATTGTACTCTAGCCATTCCTAGTGGTCTATTGGTTGTGTTGTTCATTGTGTAGTGCTAAGTATTCAGTCTGTGCAACCTTTGGTTGGAGACGGGGTCGATTGTCTTTTAAATGCTCTGATGAAATTCCATGGAGATTTTGTGAAGACATTAAATAGAATTCAGAAGAGAAATCGTAGAAAATTCTAAAGATGAAGATTCAAGAACGTTAATGAAAGCAAAAACGTAGCAAAAACAGAATTTTTAGATCATTCCAGATTTTTCTAGATTTTATATTTTAACTGATTCAGATTTTTCTTAAAATGACCTAGCAACGTTGCTGATGACCCTACACCAGTGATGATTAACCTTTATTTCACCCCGCAAACTTGGTCATTTAGTCTGTCCTAAGCCACATTCACAGCTTCTTCCTCTCGCACACAAACCGTCGCTTGGAGGAGCAAACCACATCGTTCCAGCCCCAGTTTAAGTTCTTCGCCTTCTCGTACCACAGATGGACACAGTGTTCCTTGCCATTCTTGTTGTCCGGCTTACCGGGCAACCATTTCGAATACGCCACCGGCTTCCCGTTGCCATTCCACACGAAATGTCCCTCCTTGTTTAGATCGTTGGCACCGATCCACAGTTCCACCTTGCCACTTTTGACGGCGTCCAACTTGTTGGCCAAGCTTTCGATCTTCTTTTGCTTGGCTTCGCTATTCACCACAGCCAGCATCCAACCGTTTCTGGTGCAGTACTCCACGGCTCCGTTCCAGGTTTGCTGTTTAAAAGATGCTTTAAGATTTAGGAAATTCGTAAAAATATATCGGCAACAAACTTACCACAGCGTTGGGAAAACAGAACTTGTTGTTTTTGTCGCACTTCTCCTGGCACGCTACCATGCCTGTTAGGAAAAGTGTTACGGCTAGGACTTGAAAAAGCTTCATCTTGGATTGCACAGCTTTGAACTATATGAGGCCTGGTAATCGAGACATGTTTTTATAGTCACGGAGGAATATGATGGCAAATGTCGATCATTATTCAAAATGGCATTGATGGATGTAGCAACACATGAAGAGACAGACGAGTAAATCAATACAGCTGATATCAACTGGTAGCTGTGAATAATGACGCAGCTCGCACTAGGTTGAAGTTGCTCAGACGTAATCGGCTTAATTGTTCGACCTGCTTTTCTCACTGAACACCCGTTCGATCCGATTTGCGTTTTTTTTTATATTTTTGATATGAATTGTTTGTATCAATTAAATTTAGGGGAAAGTGGGGCAGTTGGCCACCTTAAGAAAATCGTCACTACAAAATACCGTGAAAAATTTGCATGATTTTTTTTAATTAGTTAGTTTATTTACACGGCTCAGTCGTGTCGACTGACGCTATGCGGATTCAAAATTCCGTAATTTTTAAATTAACAGTTTGAACAGCAGTAAATCTTGGTTAGTATTGGGTACCAATTACTCAAGGCGGGCTCGAGTGGGTAACAATTTCGATTGGAAAGAGCTAGGTAGGAAACAGGTTAATGAAGCCTCCTTCAGATACTACTCTCGAACGGTTGACCAAATTCTGGCTGGACAGGGGCAAGTAGCACAGAAACAGATGGATAATAAGACTGGGACACAATGTCTGGAAAGGAGAGGATGGTCACATCACTTGGGCCACTAGGGCATCCAATAGTCGTGCTCTGGAGGTGTCATTACCAGGGCAATGCCAAACTGCTTGATCGATGTCATCATAACCGGTTCTGCACCTACATATATTGCTGTCAACGAGGTTTATTCTGTACAGATGTGCGTCTAGGGAGTAGTGGTTGGACATAAGTCTTGACATCACGCGAATGAATACCCGACTTGCATCCAGATCTTTGAACCACGCTCTCCAAGAAACATTTGGAGTAATGGAATGCATCCATCGCCTAAGAGAATTACTTGTCCAATCCTTTTGCCAACTTGGCAGAGAACTCTGACGTACTAATGGGAAAAAACCATCATGTGAAATTCTTCTACCATAAATCTCGCCTTGTTGTGCGCCCACATTTGCGAGAGAGTCTGCTTTCTCATTGCCTGAGATTGAGCAATGTGAGGGAACCCATATATGATCTTTCGACCAGCAAACTCATCTGCTCCCTTTACTTTTGAAAGGAAATAAGATGAGTGTCTACCTTGTTCCATCGACCCAATAGCCTCAATCGAACTGAGACTATCCGAGAAGATGAAGTAGTCTATGGGCATATCGGAAATCATCCCCGGAAAGTTAATTGCTGCTAGCTCAGCAACATAAACGGAACAAGGTTCCTGAAATTTCCGGAAGACGGTTGAGTATTCATTGAAGACACCGAAGCCAGTGGATCCATCAATGCGTGATCCATCAGGGAAATATCTTCTATTGCAATTTACTTGTTGGTACGTTTCAGCAAAAATAAGGGGAATTGAGATAGGTCGAAGTTAATCTGGAACTCCTTGAATAGTCTGTTTCATGGAGAGATCATAGTCAATGGGGGGACTGTAGTTAGTAAAGCGTACATGAGGGGGTTATAGCAAGGAACGCTAACATCCGATGACATATAATTAAGGTAAATTTGCACGAATCTAGACTGGGTGCTCAATTCGAGCATTTCTTCGAATTTTTCAATCACAAAGGTTGTTACTAACACTACATTTGATCAATACTCTTAATGAGAGCTCCCAGAAACGGTTCTGCAGGGGTTTTACGTCCGCTAGAACCACTATTTAGGAGCATATTGTGTGTTGAATGCATACAGTCAAGGGCAATACGTAAACAACGATATTGAAAACGTTCCAATTTGATTAGGTTGCTTTTTCTTGCCGAGAGGAAGCAAAAAGAGCCATGCTCAAGAACTGAAGAAGTAGTCGTTTTATACAGTTTAATGAGGTCTTCCGGGTGAGCACCCCACCAAGTAAAATTCGAATGATGTTAAACCAAATGGATTGCTTCAAGCCCTATTTACAGCATTGATACAAATTGAATATTAAAAGTAAACTTTTGAATCTTATGCAAGAAGATTTAAAAAAGGTTCGTTTTGTAAAGTAAAATGAACAGCCTGTCGGTATGATATAAGCGACCTTGTAAACAACGGGTTAGAATATTATGTTCTATTGAGGCTTTATGAAGAGTCAACAATGAACAGTTTTAGCATAAAAAGATTTAACAAAAACAATTATTTTCTGTAGAACAAATTAAATTTAAGAAGTACTGCCTATTTAGGGCTATACTTTTTCAGTCTTAAGAATGACTGATTTTTACCAAATTAGCTGTTTCAAAACATGATTTCATTTGATGCAGTCATAATTATGAAAGGAATAATATAAATTTGAAGAATGTAAGCTGAAATATCATTCGTGCTCATATTGCCCCGAATGGACTTAAATCCGCTTGCGTGCTCGGATGAGGCGTACGACATATATGTGAGTAAGTAGTGTTGTATTTCGGCAATTTTAAATTACAAAATTAAATATTAAATGGGATTTCCTTTATTTAATACACTTCACACGGAGCAACACTAAAGTTCAACCTGTTGCTGTGAGATCTCGCCGTACACTGATGGTAGCTTCTATCTCATACCACTTCGTTGCGATCACTCGTCGTCCGTTTCTCTTTTCCTTACATTTCGGTCATCCTGAGAGGGATCTGGACTCCAGACCCGATACCTCTTCATATGGCACGCCGCAGTTGTCGTTCGCATTGGTCCCTCGCCGCTTACCTTCTCAACGTCATAACGGTCATTTGCCTTCACAGTCACGACCTTGTATGGTCCCAGATATTCCGAGGCGTACTTCTTCCCAGATCCGAATTGTGTACGCTTAATGGCCACAACATCTCCTGTTCTGTAGTTCGTCGCTGGCTTCGCACGAAGATTGTACGTATTCCGCTGTTCTTCCTGCGCCTTTTCAATAGCAGCCCTTGCCTTCTCCCGGATTTCATATCTCTGGTCATCGAATTGGGCCATCTTTATCTCCTCTAGTATTTCACCCAGTCGAATATCACCTTCATGCCGGATTTGAACACCGAAAAGAGCTTCGAACGGTGTTACACTCGTACTTTGATGAACACTTGCGTTAATCCAACGTTGGATGTTGCCGACATGTTTATACCATTTGGTTTTATCGTCTACGCTCAGTTTCGTCAACATGGCCAGGATCACCTGATTTACGCGTTCGACTTGACCATTTCCTCTCGGAACACCTGTGGTAATATCGATGTGCTCCACATTCTGCTCGGCGCAATACTCCTTGAAATCATGGGACGTAAAGGCCGATCCTTTATCGCTAACGATACGCCTAGGGTTTCCAAACAATTCACTCTGTTGCCGTAGCCGTTGGATCACCTCGGCCGCATTCGTTGTCTTAGTAGGATAAATCCACACGTACTTCGTGAAACCATCCACTACCACAAACAAATACTTGTAGAGTTTCTCCGTTGCATCCATGGGTCCCACATGATCAATATGATAAGTATCGAAAGGAACATCGCCCTTTGGGATAGGTGACAGAAGTCCTTCCGTTTTTCCTCGTTTCCGCTCTGCAAGGATGCATTTAACACAGCACTCGATTTGCCTTTTGATTTTAGCACCGAGCTGCGGAATGAAGTAGTCACGCTTGATAATGTCTTCCAGTTTTTTCACACCAAAATGTCCACTTTCATGCGCACGTCGTATGATTACACTCTGTAGCTCTGCTGGCACGACAACAACTTCTCGTCCATCCACAATTTTCATCAGCAGGTCACTTGTCACTATGTAATCCTCGAACGGTCGAGTTTTGAGCAGCTCACAAATCACTCGGAGTCTCTCATCACGTCCTTGGGCAGTTTTAATCAGCTCCACTAGTGGGTCACCAGTCGTAACCATAACCGGTGCCCGGCTCAAAGCATCGACGTGTTGCATACGGGAGCCTGGTCGATGTTCTACTGTGTATGTGTACTCTTCAAGTACCAATGCCCATCTGGCCACTCTTGGACTAAGATGTTTCCCTTTCAACGTATGCTGGAAAGCTGCACAGTCTGTCACAATTTTAAACGGTATGCCGAGCAAGTACACTCGAAAACGTTCAACCGCATTCACGACCGCGAGCACTTCCAGATGATAAGCACTATAGTTTTTCTCCGCACTCTTCGTTTTTTGACTCATGTAGTAAACGGGATGAAATTTTCCGTCATGATCCCGTTGGAGTAACACTGCACCATACCCCTCCTTACTCGCATCGGTGTGCACTTCAGTTTCAGCAGCAGCATCATAAATTTTCAGCACCGGATCTGACACCAAGCAATCCTTCAGCTGCTCGAAACTTCTGCTTTGCTTCTCACCGAACACAAACGGTACGTCTTTTTTCAGCAGATCGGTTAGCGGTCTTGCAATAAGCGCATAACCCGGCACAAACTTGCGAAAGTAACTGGTTAATCCCAAATACCGTTGCAGTTCTTTCTCGTTACACGGGACGCGAAAATTCTTCACAGCACGAATCTTCTCGGGAGACAGTCGATAGTTTCCTTCACTAATTAAGTATCCTAGATACTCGACCTCACTCTTCAAGAACTGTGACTTTCCCCAGTTAAACTGAAGTCCGTTTTCACTGGCCACCTTCAACACTTGTCGCAATATTGCGATGTTTTCTTCCGGTGTGTCGGATGCAATAATTGCATCGTCGACGTAAATAATCAACACTCCACTTCTAATCAACTCTCGAAAAACATCCGCCACGAACCGACTAAAACTCGCGGGGCTGTTACATAACCCGAACGGGGTTTTGAGGAACTCGTATTGTCCCATATGCGTCACAAAACTGGTATTTTTGACTGGAAGCCTCCACTGGTACGTGGAAGAAAGAATTCTTCAAGTCAAGAGTAGTAAACACTTTAGAATTTTTCAACTTATCGATTTGGTCCTCAATGTTGCGCATTGGGAAACAGTCTTTCACTATTTTTC